TTTTCTTTTAAACCAGAGAATAATTTTAGATTATTCTTCAGAGAAGAGTATCAGAGGCACGAGTGTAGTTTGGAAAAGCAGAGTCAATACATTTTATTTTTGGAAAATGAAAATGCCAAATGTTGGTGAAATCTTGACCATAACAGCAGTGACTTGAAGCCTGTGCTTGCAGGCATGGATTACAGAGATGGGAGAAACAGGAGTTTCCATCCTTGGGTGGCAGCCTCAGAGAAGGGGATGCTAGTGGGCCTTGTCCCCTTGAGGTGCCCCTGAGAGTAGGCAGGGGACATAACTTTCAATTGCAGGTACCACTGGGAAGTGAAGTCACGGAGGGATTGTGCTTTAGAACTGGCTGCATCCACAGCATGGAGAGGACCTGCACGTGGGTGGCCTGGAAGACAAATTGTCCATGTTTGAAAAAAAAAAAAAACACACACACAATTTGTTCTCAGGCCCCTGAGGAGGAGGGGATGGGGAACCAGACTCTGCTGCAGCCCTGGCGCCTGCTGGGGCAGGTCTGGGGCTCCAGCTCCCACAGCCTGGCGTGGGCTTAGGGCTCTGCCGATCCTTTTTGTGGTTGGTTGTGTTGAGCAGCCTCCTGTGAGCCGTGGCTGGCAGTGGTTTCTGGTATCTTCAGGATTTTCAGCCCTTGGGGCTGAAGCCATATGAAGTTCTGTGTTCATCCCCTTGTTTCCCTGGAACCTTCCAGGCACCCCCTAAGAGAGGCCCTGGCCCAGCATCTGTCTTACAGCTGGTGGCCCTCGGGATAACACCTACATTGATGGAGCACCTGTGCCAGGCACCATGCTGAGTGCATCATCTCATCAACACCTCATGATAGTCTCCAAAAGTAGGTTCTGTTGTTAGCTCTGTTTAATTGATGAATAAATGGAGGTGTGGGGAGGTTAGGGAACCTGCCCAAGGTCACATAACTAGTAAGTCATGGAGCCGGGATGTGAATTGTGCCACATGCGCTTGTAGAGGCCTCATAAGAGAATGTTCGGAGGAACAGAGCAATCCTGGGTGCCACCCTCCCCTCTCTCTGCCTGGCCCCCACTGGCTCCAGGAGCTAGCCACTGAGCTAACAAGAAGGCCTACCCACTAAGCACAGCCTCTCTCCTCTCCTCCCCCCCACCCCCAGCCCTAGCGAAGTGGGCTCAGCCTCAAGAACAGAGGCAGCCTTGTGACTGGAGTTTCTCCAGCTCCCAGCAACCCCACCTCCGGTCTGGCTGAGTATGTTTCAACACCCCAGAGCAGCACATTCCATTCTCTGGCACAGCTGGGGGCTGGGGATTCCGGATTCCCCTGGCTGCCTGTGTTCTTCACAGCCCCAGCAGAGCCTGCTGTCTGGGCTGGGACGTGGGGTCCCAGCCACACACATTCCAGCAGCAACCACCCCCCACGTTACATTTCTTCAGGAGTGAACTTCAGCCAGGATTACAGGCGACTAAACGGTTGTGGGATGTGAGCTTCCTTTGTGGAGACCTAAGGCTGGATGCTGGCAGGGCTGAGAGGGGAGAGGGGATTGGGGGTGGGCTGTCTTTGGGAAGTAGGAGAAAAGCCACTGACTCCTCTGCCTCTGTCAGTACCCTTGGAGTGGGATTGGAACAGGGCTCCCAAAAATCTTCCTGTGAGGCAGGCTGGCAGAAGCATGGCTGCCTGCACCCCCTGGCCTTGGCTTTGCCCCTACAGACAGTAGTATAGTGGTTAAGAGCATGAAGTCAAATTCTAGCACTGCCATGTGCAAGCTGTGTGACCTCCAACAAGTTCCTTAACCTCTCTGAGCCTCAGCCACCATCACTGAAATGCCACTACCTTGAATGGCTGTTGGGAGGCTTAAATTAGAATGCAAAAGTTGGGTGAGCCACAGTGGCTCATGCCTGTAATCCCAGCACTTTGGGAGGCCAAGGAGGGAGGATTGCTTGTGTCCAGGAGTTTGACAGCAGCCTGGGCAACATAATGAGACTTCAACTCTACAAAAAATAAAAAATTAGCCAGGCATAGTGGCATGCTCCTGTGGTCCCAGCTACTTGGGAGGCTGAGGCAGGAGGATTGCTTGAGCCTGGCAGGTTGAGACTGCAGTGAGCCATGATCGTAATACTGTGTTTAGCCTGGGCAACACAGTGAGACCTTGTTTCAAAAAAAAGAAGAAAAAGAGAAAAGATCAGATAATGCAGAAGTGTTTCGAGTAGTGCCTACCACCCATCATGGCCTTGATATTTATTGATTGCTAGTATTATAGGAATACTAGTAATCTCTTCAATGTTGGCTTACACCACCACCTGTACTTCTGAAGCAAAACCCCAAATGTAGGTTCTAGCTCTCTTCTGAAAGTAGTGTTCTGGCTTTTAGATAAGATCCTCTTGTCTTTTCCTTGCCTTCCTGCCAGTATTGTTTCTTAGTTGATTAATGAATCCATTAGGAATTTTACTGAGCACCTACTATGGACAGGCACTGCTAGGTCATCGCTTTTGGTTAATAAAAATACTCATGACCATTTAATGGACATCTATATACTGTGCATTGTACTTTTCATGCATTTTCCCACCTAACGCTCAGCAACCCTGTGAAGTAGACATTTTTACTCCATTTTACAGCTGGGCACTATTCCCGACGTTACGCAGTCACTAAGTCACAAGATTAGAAGCCAGGACTGGACTGTACCTGCCTCTTCTCACCCCAGCCCAGAGTGTTCAGCTGCCTCCTCCCCTGTCCTTTCTGTTCTCTATTAGAACTCTGATTTTGTCCCCAGCTGAAAAAGCTTGACTTACTCTGCTCTCTTGCACCTAGGGGTGGCCATGTGACTTAGTTTTGGCCAGTGAGCTAAAAGTGGAAATCTACTAGGTGGGATTGCTGGGGAAATTTCTGTTTTCCTGATCAAAGGGGGGCCAAAGGCAGCTGACAAGCTGTGCTCCTCGCCCTTCCCCACCTTGCTGTCTGGAATGTGGTGGAGAAGTTAGAAGGAGGCATCGTCTATAACCACGAGAGCGAACGTCGCCCCATGGCAAAGCAGGAAGGCAGGAGTTGGACGTAGACCTCCCACCTGTGCACCTCCAACCCTCTTGTGTGGAGAAGCTGGGGTTTCTTTTCCTGGGGTTTCTGTTCTGTGTGGTGGGGGCCACATCGTTCACTGCACCCAGGTGCGCTCGGGGCAACACAGCTGCTGGGTCTCCAGCCAGTGGGAGGGAGCCTTGTGTGACTGAAGGGAATGAAGGGTGGGGCTCAGGCCTGGAAGGACCTCCCTGGTCTTTGGGAAGATTCTTCTTGGTCACAGAAAATAGGTTCCTGGTGAGTCTGACAGCAGATGCTGGGGGACAGCAGTCAGAGCTAGGCCCTGACCTCTTGTAGGGGTAGAGGAGTGCCTTCCTGGGCTTCACAGGATGGACTAAGGGGGTCTTCCCCTCGCCCCGCTGCCCCATGGCTGCCAGCATCTGGCAGAAGTCAGCATAGTACTTCAGCCAGGGCAGGCCCAGTCCTGTGTGTGCCATGGAAAAATCACCCCTGGTCCTGGTTGACCACAGAAGTGTCCGTAAACATTTGGTCAGGGTAGGCGGCTGGAAGACAAGGGGCAGATTCAGGGAGCCAGGTGCGCTGGGCAGGGTTTGGGCGTGGGTGGATGAGGGAGGAACAAGGCGGCCTATGCAGCTGCTGACCTGCGGTGAGGCCACCTGCCTGCCCGGGGTGATTTATGAGCACACTGTCGGACCACCTGCTAGCCAGACCTCAGGGGAGTGCGCGCGCATGGCCCACAGCAGAACGCAGCCCTGGCCCCTCCGGAGTCATTTCCCTGAGGTGATGTGCACCTCTGGGAGTGAAAGCCAAGGCTTTCCTCAGCTCCAGAGAACGAGGCTCCTTTGTCTTGGAGGAACACCAGGCCTTGTCTGGACTTGGCATCCCAGCTTTACCCCCACTGGTGGGGTAAACTTCTCCCACTGGTGGGGAGAGCCCCTCAGGGAGTGCCCCTAGCCCCCTGCTCTGGGTACATCTGGCATCTGCTGATGGACCCCCCAGGGAGCTCCTTTCTGGCACTGCCCTGTCCATAGGCTGCTCATTAGAGTGGCAGTGGCTTCTCGCCTCCATCTCAAGCTTTCTCCCCCTCCCTGCCCATCCACCTCAAGGCAGCAGCCTCCATCTGCTCTGAGCCCACTGGGGCACCCCCTCAGCTCCTTGCCCTCTCCCTGTCTCAGTTGTCACCTTATCTAGGTAGTAGTTCTCAATCCTGGCTACACATCATCCCAGGGAGCATCTAAAAACACCAACTCCCGGGCACCCTACAGAGATTCTGATTGAATTGCATTAGAGTAGGGCCCAGGATTCTGTAAAAGCTCCCTAGATGATTCTAACATTTATGTGTTGAAATGCAGATTCGGATACAGCAGGTCTGCATTTCTTTGTTGTTGTTGTTGAGTTAGGGTCTCACTATGTTGCCTAGGCTGGTCTTGAACTCCTTGGCTTAAGGGATCCTCCCTCCTCAGCCTTCCAAAGTGCTGGGATTATGGGCATGAGCTACCATGCCTCCAGCCAGATGCTGCCTTTCTAACCAGCTCCCAGGTGATGCTCATGCTGCTGGACCAGGGACAGGTAAGGAGCAGTGCCCGCGGTGTGACACATCTTTGACCTCAGGCTTTTCATGATAGTGCCCTGCGGCCCTGCCTTCTTGGACTCCTCCGATCAGGCCTTCACCTCATGGGGGAGCTGCTGCAGGACGTGGAGTCTTTGGACTGTGGGAGAAAGCTGGGGAACTTGGCACTTCCATTCCTCCTCAGGGACAAAAGAACGTCCATCTCCATCCCTCACTTAGCGGTCAGAATGACAGGGTGACCCTTGCTATGTACTACAAAAACACAGGCCTTGCTTTTCTTAGCATTCCAAGGAGGTCTATGTGGCCAGGCCATGGGTTAAGATAAGGGCTTCTTTCTGGGTGAGGCTCCATTCTAAACCTCCCTCTCCCCCCACCTCTTGGGAACCAGCTGACAAAGAAATCACCTGGTCCAAACCAATTATTGTTTTCTTTGATTTAATTAAAAAGTTAAAAAAATTAGAAAACACAACCGTGTATGTATTGGTTGCCTAGTACCTATGGCCTCACAGCAGTAGCAATAACTTATCGGGATAAAAAGGAGAAGCAGAGGCTGAGGAATGAACCCCGGGAAGCGAGCCTGCGGGTGTACCGGAAGCGGGTCTGTGCTGAGGCTGGGCTGGGCTTGCTCTCCAGTCCAGGGAGAGCTCTGGGCCTTGGGGCAGGGAAATGGACAAGCTGGGGAAAGCAGGGGGTGTGGCTGGAGGCACTGAGACCCTAACTCCTTTCCTTTGGGGGGCTAGGATGACGCATACAGGGGCGGTGGGGAGAGCTGTCTCCCAAATAGCTTAGCCTAATATTGAGACTTCCCTCTTCAAGGCGAGGCCCCACCACCGACAGAGGGAAGCTGGAGCTGACACCACCATCTACTCTGAAACCTCCTCCTCACGGTGCCCTGAGCCCCTCCACCCTTCCCTCACCCTCTCCTCCCCTGCCTACTTTCTGAGACCCTGGGGTCTTCCCCCCGATGAAGAAGCCCTGCTCCTGAGAGAGGAAGCCCAATATCCCAGGGACCCCAGGACCCCTGGGTCAAAAAGGATAGCCTGGGCTCCGTGCCCATCCCTTGGGCCCTGTGCCAGTAACAACACTCGTGAAAACACCCTCCAGCAGGGCTGGGTCAACCTGGAAGTTGGGGCGGGGCCAGAGGGCATGCAAGGCACAGCTGGCAGGGCAGGGAGGAGTGCCCTTTAGTGGGGCTCTGCGGCCCCATAGAAGAAAGGGTAGTAGAGGGAGCAGGGGTAGGAGAACATGAATTTGACTGCGAACTTCATCTCCTTATTCTTCTTGTCCCAGCGGTAGACGGCCATGAGCAGCAGCTGTCCATCCACTTTGCGGCCCATGACCAGGAAGCTGCCCGCCAGGCCGTCCAGCTGCGGGCAGGGGCAGCCCGCGCCGTTCTTCATGTGCAACACCAGCCGCTTGGTGTCCTTGCGCTTCAGGGGGCCCGGCTTGAGCAGCTTCTTCTTTTTCTGGGCTCCAATCAACTTCCGGTCCCCATTCTCTATCTTGATCTCCTTGATGCGCATTTTGACCACTGTGGGAAGAAAGGACAGGGGCAAGTTGGGAATGGTCAGATCTACGTGGGCCCAGAGTTGGTGTGTTCTGGACCTTCGGGCTCGGGGAGCCTGATGCCCTGCGGGGTTTGGAAGGGTGGAGCTCGTACAGGCACATTTTCATATTTATGAAGCGCTTACGGTGCTGCACTCTCATGGACAGCATCATGTTTCATCCTCAAGGTACAGGAGAGGGGAAATGAGGGGTAGAGAGCTTGTGACCTGCGCGAATCAAGAGCCCAAGCCCTTCTGAGACACCAAATGCAGGGTGGAGAGCTCCTGATGGAGCAGCGTGTGGGGCTCCCCCCAGGGAGGGATAAGGAGCGGATGGGACTGGGGCCGGCTGCTTGGAAGGGGATCCTTGCGATGGAGGGAGGCTGGACTTCCTGATCTCTGGGGATGATTCCCATTGGGATTTCTGGCTGTGTGTGAGTGTATGGTATGGAGTATATATGGGGTGTGTATATGTGTAGTGTGCGTGCATGCACACACGGTGAGTGTGGTTGGAGCAGTGGTGGGCTGGCAAATATTTAACAGCTGGCTCTGTGGACAGGGAGCCCTGCTTTGCATTCATTGACATCCATGGGGTAAATACTCCCACCACAACTGACCGCAAGACTGGGTGTGGAGCTGGGAATAGATACACACAGTTCAGCTCTTGCTGGTGTGAACACACCACTGTACAGTAATATGTATGTGTGTGAGAGAGAAATTGTATGGTGGGTGGGAGTGTGTTTGTGGTATGTATAGGAGTAGGGCAGGGGGTGTGGCTGGAGGCACTGAGACCCTAACTCCTTTCCTTTGGGGGGCTAGGATGAAGGCAGGGTCTGTAGCCAGAGAGTCACGGTACAGGTCACCCTGCAGTGGATGTAGACAGCCTAAGGAGTCCTGGGCCTCAGGGTGGGGTGGGGAGTCCCTCGGGCTGGTTTCTCCCTTCTTCAGGCTTCTGGGCCCCCATCTCTGTGGGGCTAGGGAGAAGTCAGAGAATAACTCTGCCCACTCTTGGCTGGAAATTGTCATAAAATCTTGTTCCTTTTCTTTATGTCCCCTTCCTCTTCTCTTTCTCTCTCTGACACACACACACACCCCTTGCAATAGCAGTATTCTCTTTCCAAACACAAACAGGCTACCGACATAAAAGACTCCTCTGAAGAAAGGACTTCATTATCATCTCCTTTTTTCTTTTTTATAGACAGGGAGGCTAAGACACAAAACAGGGAACTGACTTGGCAAAGATCACACACTGGACTGCATGGCCCATGTGTGAGCCGGGTCCTGACCGGACTTGGCTGGGTTTTCCCAGAAAATGGGAAGGCTCTGGGATGAAGTTGTGGCGACAGGTGACCACAGCTCTGCTGGCAGGCGGTGTGCTGAGTCCCAGGTGGAGGTACCCACGGACAAGGGTGCTCCACTTCCATCCTAGAGCCATCACTCCCCACCTGGCTCCATCCATCTCTGGGCTAAGCCTGGCTCCATTCATCTCTGGGCTAAGCCTGGCTCCATTCATCTCTGGGCTAAGCCTGGCTCCATCCATCTCTGGGCTAAGCCTGCACTATCCACAGAGATGATCCAGTCATGGAGGCCCCTCTGAAAATGACACCAAGGGAGGGCTGCGGGAGCCCTGGCCGGGGTGGTTTCTGAGGCCTAAGGCCCATAGCCTTGAGGGACTTGTGATGGTCCTGAGATGATGCAGAAAGAGGTGCATTTCTCTTGGGAGAGGGTTTATGGTTATCATTGGATTCTAAACCAGAGCCATGATGCAAAACCTGTTGGGACTCACTGTGATGGATGTGAGCACGTCTGTTCCCGTGTGTGTCAAGAAAGAGAGGCTGGGGGTGGTGCCGGGGCAGTGGCAGCATGGGCCCCACACTCACCAAAGTCACTGGAGCACATCTGCTCCATGAGGCCATCAGCGCTGTGCTCCATCTCACACTGGGCGCAGATCTTGGTCACTGAAGAGAGAAAGTGGGGTGGGGTTGGGGGACAGTTGGTGAGGGGATTGGAGTTCCAACAGCCACTCAGGGTGCAGGCTTCCTCACTGACTAGCCACATCCCCCTGCCAAGCCTCTACTTCCTTATCCAGAAATGGGATGATGGCAATCATATCACTACCCGCTCACAGAGTGACTGACAATCACCAGACAGGCTGTGCAGGGACAAAACTGCCAGGTGGGCACAGTGACTGCTCCATGACCCTGGCGGCCACAGCCATGATGTGCATTGTCATTTAAATTTCATCTCCTCTCATCCTCAGCCTATGAAGTAGGGATTCTTATTCCTATTTTATTTTTGAGACGGAGTCTCGCTCTGTCACCCAGGCTGGAGTGCAGTGGCTCTCCAATCTCAGCTCACTGCAATCTCCGCCTCCCAGGTTTAAGCGATTCTTCTGTCTCAGCCTCTCAAGTAGCTGAGATTACAGGTGTGTGCCACTGTGCCTGGCTAATTTTTGTATTTTCAGTAGAGATGGGGTTTCACCATGTTGGCCAGGCTGGTCTAGAACTCCTGACCTCAAGTGATTCACCCACCTTGGCCTCCCAAAGTGCTGGGATTACAGGCATGGACCACGGTGCCTGGCCCTTATTCCTATTCTGGAGAAAAGGGAACTGAGGCCCAGAGCGGGTTACTCAAGTCTGACAGCAGACGGGGAGGAAGGGGGTGAGGGCATGGAGCCAGCCTGGAAGAGCTATGTGGACCAGCACAGCAAAGGGGAGGCTGAGACCAGGGAGAAATTAGGGTTCAGGGGACTGAGGGTGTGGGTGGGAGGAGGGACTTAGGATCTCACAGGTTTCATGAGCCTGGGATGGCTTCCTATTTTATGGATGGGGGAAACTGAGGCTCAGTGAAGTCAAGCAACTTGCCTAAGGGCTTTTCTTTAGGGGCAGAGCCTAATCTGCTCTTCCTTCCGCAGTGAGCCTTACCCAAATGACTCCCAGCCAGGGGAACGGAGGAAGAGGGTGGAGATCTTTGGGTTCCAGGTACAGAAAATGGGGAGGCAGACCATAGCCCAGGAACGTTCTTAGTCTCCAGTCTTTCCCCACATCCCTTCCCTCACCTCTCCTCTCTTCCCAAGGTCCCAACACGGGATGGGAGTGTTGCTTGCTTTGGTGCCTCGGGATCCAGGTAAAGGCATTGTTTAACGACCCCAGACATTCTTGGGCTGAGAGGGGTCATAAGGCATTTATCAGGACGTCCCAAGATGGGGGGACGGCATTGGGGGATTCTCAGCAGCTTGGTTGGGTGGGCACTGAGAGGGGTGCCAGGGGTGTCCAGGGAACGAGAGCCAGAGGGAAGGTCTGGAGCCGCAGGGAGGCACTACGCTGCTACTCCCTGGGGAGGTGGGAAGGCGGGAAGGCTGCGGGGGATAATTCCGGGGGCGATGGGCTGAGCTAAGACAGCGTGTGTTGTGTGTGTGTGTGTGTGTG